ACGAAAATAGCATTGCAGGGATATTTACCCAGTTTTCATAAAAACTATTATGGCTTTATTTTCAAAGCAAGTAACTACAGAGCCATGTGGCCTGTCGGTAAATGTTCAAGTGATTAACTGAGAAATGTGGAGGTGGGAGGAGGAAGGCTGCTAGGCATACGAATTTGAGAAAAACAAAATTTAGAAGAGGATGTTTTGAGAATTTCGAAAGCTAAGAGCATTTTGGTCTCTAGAATGACGTTCCATATAACAGTGCTAAGACCTACACCCCAAGAGAGAAAGGAGGAAACACTGGCACATCTGTTTCAACGGTTATTTTTGAACATACTTAGAGTTATGTTTTCAAATTCAGGTTTCCTTAGAGTTAAAATCTTGGCACAGATCAAGAGTGAGTTGCAAAGCCAAATTGCATTTTTTAGAATTAGCCCTGCTGCAGGGATGGGAAGCCCTCCTGCCTTTCTTGCTTGCAGGCTGCCCGGCCCTCTCCTGCCCCTGGTGGGAACTGTGTGAGCCCAGACCAAGGCCCGCAGGCCTGGAGGCAGGTGTGGGAATGGAGCTGCCAGAGTGTCTGTGGAGGCCAGGGAGGGAGGGTGGGGTTGCCCTGGGGCGAGGTCTGGAGCCATCTCCTATCCCACTGCCGTTCACAGCCTTGATTGTGAAACTCACTGCAAAACTAACAATGTAGGATGAAAACAGAGAGTGAGAAAGTAGCTTGAGCTGAGCTACTGAATCCAGCAACCTTCATAAACCCTTCTGGGTCGCTGCTGTCAATGGCTGTCTTCTAGGTCCACCACAGAATTCTGGATGAGTCCATTCCATTTCCACCAATGCAGAGCCACTGGGGCTTCACCATGACTGCCACCTTCCTACTGCCACCACCATCTCAGCCACCACTGCAACCACTACCACCTGCACCATTGCCACCACCATCTCAGCCACCATGACGACCACTGCCACCCTCACCACTGCCACCACCATGACGACCACTGCCACCCATACCGCTGCCACCACCGCAACGCAACCACTGCCATCCTCATCACTGCCACCACTAATCACCATTACCTCCTCCACCACCACCATCACAATCACCAACACCAACACTGCCACCACCATCACAACCACTGCCACCACTCTCAGCACCACCATCACGCAGCTGGAAAGTGGCAGAGCTAGATCTAAAGCCAGGTTTCGCTGGCTCTGGAGCTTGTACTTTCACACACTCTGCTTTACCACATAACCAGACAGCAAAGTCAAAAACCTGGCTTTCTTTTTCAAAACACCGGAATGGGGCATGTCCCAGGAACACACTTTGCCACTGGCCATTTTCAGCAAATACAGGCACTCTGAACTCTTTAGAAATATAAATGCAAGAGGACATGCCTTTCCCTCAGCCAGTCCCTGGATGGACATGTCCACTACTGTAGGAGCCCAATGCCCCCGTCTCTATGAGGACACCCACCTCAACCCACTGCCAGTGTGCTAGATAGAGGAGAAATGTCACTGATACATATAGAGTTCTAGATTTTCCAGGGAAAAGCTACTAGACTCCTTAGGGCTTTTTAAAATTTTTATTTATTTATTTATTTATTTTAAGCTAATGCCTGTTCTGGATCTGTTGAGAAATGGGTAAGTAAATGATATTCTGGAAGGATGAAGCAAACACGACCACATCTGAGGGTTGGTATTTAAGATGTGGTACCACTTTCCTAACAAGACAGAATAAATGCTTTAAACTCTTAGTCTAAATTGCTTTCTCTAAAAAAGCGACAGTGCTTCAAGAGCTGGCAAGTAACATTCCATTCCTATCCCATGACTTGATAATTTCTACTATGTGAAAGACATTCCCAAATGATTTGGAATCACTATAAAATTAATACATTAATGATAACATATAGAAAATATGTATATCCAGTAACATTTTAATGGATCAATAAATGTTTGCTGTTTGAAAATACAAGATCACGGAATCGCTTCTTTCTTTGGAAACCACTTAGAAGACCGTGTCTCTGCTTTAAATTTGAGCTGTTACAATTATTAGATTCAAAATTTGGGGGAAATATTAAATTCCAAGGTTAAATTTTCCCTAAAATTAAAATGCTACAAAAATATATTTATTATAAATTAAAATGGTGAAGGAATGTGTCAAGAAAAGTAGAATCAACATAACACATTAGGTCTGGCTGTTGACACATAAACATGACCACAAAATATTCACAAAATGTCACAACACTCACTTGGATATTTTTCAAGTTGTATGAGGTGAAGACTCAATTCACCTGAGTAATAAAATTATTGTGTAAAAGAACTATTATGTATTTCTAAGAGAAAGGTTCATTAGAAGTAAAACTTTGAACTTCTGGGGGCATGAGTTTTATCCCTGTAATTCTGCAGCAAAAGACTCTTCCCTCCAAACAGGATGCACCGAGTGTTTAACACATTAATTATCATCCTTCATCAAGCATAAAACTAACAGTCAGGAAATACAGCTGCAATGGCACAATTACCAACACACTCAGAATATACCCTGAAGCAAAGAAAGCAAATGGCTTGCTTTTCATTAACAGAGCTTGGCAACCTCTCCAAAGACAATGTTTTCTTTCCAGTCAGAGTCCCAAAAGGCATTTAAGGGGCTATTTGCTTAGGTAAAGCCAGAGAACAAATTAATCATGAAAATATTTATTTAATTTTCAAAATATCCATGATAAATACACAGTATCATTCAGAAGAAAATTATATATATTAAACGATCTCTTGATAAAATAAAAATCTTATAAATACAGGATAAGTATTTTAAAGTGCAAGAGGGTAGGGAAGGCAAATAATACCTTCATACTTGACCTTGACACATAAGGTACTAATGGTTTTTGTTTTCATGTTTCGTGGCACACAATATGATTTGCAATATGCTTACATCTATGTAATAATAAGCTGTGTAATAACAGAATTCTATTATATCAGATTTGAGTCCACATAAAAAACTTAGCTGTCAGCTTGAGGTTCTACTATAACATGTCATTGTTGAAAACCTAGACGAACAGCATTCCAGGGAGGTAATAAAAGTATAGTTTATTTGGTTGGTTTCTAGATACTTATTCTTAATATCACTGTAACATCATTATACCTTAATAGATGTATTACTCCTACTAAGATTATATTACAATTAAACCATGAACTATTACCTGAACCATATATTTAAGGAAAGCTCTGGGGATATAAAAGGTAATGGAGAGTCATCTGCCCAAAATACTTGTAATTATGTCTCGAACCACTGCTGTCAAACTTTCACTGAATTCTCTGCCCAGAAATCCTCTAACATAATCAGCTTGATCCTCTCTGCAGGATAAATATCATGGCAAAAATTAAGGAGCCATATTTTCCTCAGCACAGGAGGCCAGGGATACACATATGGGTTCTTCCATGCTGTGGCACAACTTTAATTTCATGAATTCATATTGTACTTTATATGCAATTAACTCAAACCTGAAGTTCTTCTGAGTTGTACTTGGGGTAGGCATCATTTCCTTTTCTACCTGGCTGATTTATGTTATGTTCAGTTGTCTTTCAGAAGACAGGTAACCTTTGAAATTGTATCTGAAATAAAACGTGATGCAATTCATGTTCTAAAACCTAAAAGTCTCTGCCTTATCAGAATCCCATGGATTCTGTGAATAGTATGAGTTATAATTTTAACCACTCTGCCTTGGTTGGGAGGGCTGCTTCCTGAGGTGTGAAAGCAGCAGTCAATCACAGAGAAGAAACACAGCCCCCACCACCAATCGGAACACTGCCGGTGTTGAGGGGAAGGCTGTGAGCCCACTGTGTGAAGAACAGTTGGCTGGACAAAGGGTATATAAGAGATAAAAGGTCCCTCCCCTGAAGTGCTTAGAGTTGCCAGAGAAAACAGTGCACATTTTGAATGCATTCACCATGTAGCAATCAGCAAATGCTCATGAATGGGCAAGTGACCAGCTGGGAGGGGGATTATGAACGAACTCCATGGCCAAGTGTTCTGTCTGGAGTCAGGTCAGGTACATCACAAGGTGAGTGGACTCTCCTGGGTTCGTCTTGGGGCCTTCATTTTAAGGGCCAGGGTCTTAAAGGGTTTCTGTCTTAGTACTTCTGTAGATGCAGTGACATTATAAACATCTCAAAATCAAAGAAACATTTTAAGACAAAAAAAACCAAAAAAACTTTTTAGTGTTTTGATGTTTTGTCAAGCAAGGTGGTAAGACATTTACAAATTGCTGGAAAAATTAGAAGCAAGGCAATTTCAAGGTGAACTTTAGCTATATTCTCACCTGGTCTTTTTCTTTCACAGATATAACCTGGCAACAAAGCATCCACTATTCTCTCACCATTCTTAAAATCCTTTTGGAGCCAAAATCACTTCCCTTACCTACATATGCATTCATTCCCTGTAACCATCAGAGAGAAAAATAATTCCATATTCAGTTTTAATGCTGAGAATCAACACTGTGCATGTATCCCTTCTAAGTTGAGAAATCACTGGGTTGAATGCTGCTTTTTCAATTAGAAAATATTACTATAGTCTTCTGGAAAAATCCAATTCTATGTTTGATGGTCTCTCAGACTAAAATGATATTTTTCATAAGTAAAGGAGGAAAGATACCTTCAAAAGTGAGCATACTGAAATGTAATAATTAAAAAGTGACCAAGTATATGGGACTTGGGCAATCTGCTCTTTAGCAATGTCAAACAAGTATTTTAAAGGAGCAGGACCAATCATTAGGCTCAAGTTCATCACAATTCATCTCCCAATAATATATATCCCAGAGTTCAATTTGTGTTTAGGGATTGCAGTATATTATCATCATATTGAATACTGTTGCAGTTAAAAAGACCCTGCCAGGACATGCAGTTCTCTCTTTGACATCGGGAGTCTTGGAATAATGATGCTTGCTGCAATTGGACATTACTTGTAATATAAACAAAATTTTACTTTTCATAAGATTTTCTAGTGGCCTCTCTAGCTTTCATACCTTTAACGTGGTGAATTCATATGGTTGATAACCTTTGAAGCTCTCATGGATGGCTGCCATAGTATGAGAAGTTTTCTCCCAAAAATGAAGCAGAGTGGTCTGCAAAGAAAGACAGTAAAGCTATTAATGTTTTGAATGCCCAGTTCTAGTCACAGGCCCCAGGGAAGTATGTCTATCTGTAGCTCTAAAATAGGATACCAACACAAAAATGAATTATATGTAAATGCAAAATATGATTCCACCTCATCTCTATACCCTTGTTTCCCATTATACTCCCATTCACACCCTGTATTTCAGCCAAATTAAATGCCTCCCTGTTTCCCCAAACACTGCCTCCTGTGGCTTATGCTCCAACCTCCTCTCCATCCTGTGTCTCATCTGATCCATGCTCCAAAACCCAGGGCAAATCATTTATAGTCTATTTTTATGATCCCTCAACTGATTCGATTTTTTTCTTCTTCAAACCCTCATTGGCTTTCTTAGAACTGATTTCAGTTGTCCCACCCTGTTCTGTCCTAGAGGTACAGAAAATATAATCAGACTCTACTTTCTCCAATTGCTTTTTAAACTTTGAGCTCCTTGAGGACAGGGAACCTGGTCTTATTAATTTTTATCTTCCCTACAACACCCAGCATTGGGCATCCCATGCTCAGTTGGTGTTAGATAGTGCTGCTGATGGACACAAGTGCTATCCTGAAGGAACTCAGAGGCTAAGAAGGGAGACAAAACAAATGCATTGAATAATGACAACCTCATGAGCAAAGTCTACCATGGGACGTATAGGTACAATGCTAATTGAGTTCAGACGGGGCTTACTAAAGGATGTGACATTCAGTCTGGTACATCAAAAAGAGTGCAATTTGGAAAGGCACAGATGAAGGGGAAAGACACCCCAGGCAGAAGGAACCTCCTAAGTACATGCAAGGAAGTGGGAAATTACAGTGTAGGTACAGGGAATAGCTGCCATTCGGTTTGATTAAACTGTAGGATCCTGGAAGGCAGAGACGTGGGAAGTAAATTATGAGAAAGGCATTCAGAACTTCATGATACCCAAATGATACTTGTACCTCAAACACCATTTTTATGTTATCTAAGCCTCATACTCTTCTTGGATCATTGTAACAAACATCCCTTTGTTACCTGGTATGTTGCTAGCATGTGAGACAAGAGATTGCATCTGCTTGCTCCGAGAAGATCCACTTTTTGACACACATCCATCTTCAATTTGTCAAAGTTTTTTTTTGCAAGGCGTACTTGTGTTTGTACCTATGAAAGTAAAAAAGAATCTTTAAATCACTCAAACTCTTAAGTAGTTAACATTTTCAGGTGAAAAAAAAACACTTTTGAAAATTTCATGCAAATGAGAGGATCCTACAACATCCATTATCTCCAAAGGACCTAAATGAGAGTACCACACATTATGAGTTTACAGCAGACTTACCATCCTAATTATATTTACCTTAGTCTAATGTTACAATTTTTTTCTTCTCAAGGCACTCAAAAACTGACCATAGTGGGGAGAAGTCTGCAGATGTGCAGGGTGGCACAGGAGTGATCTGTACTCCATTATTTTTCTATAGTCCTTGGAAGCTGAGTTCCCATACACTCTTTGCCCAGCTTCTCCTAATGTGAATGTCTTACATAACATGGTATATTCGTTAAAACAAATTAACATCCATACAATCCTACTTACTAACTTACACACATGATTTGGATTTTACCAGTTTTTCCACTAATGTCCTTTTTCTGTTCTAGGATCCAATCTCAAATCCCCTATGAGGGAATTTGACACAGCCTAAAAAACTATCCCCACTGATCAACTTTCAACTTCTTACTATGGGGTAATGTACACTAGCCATGCTCCATCCATCCCTGAACTGTACAGTAATCTAGGGATGGAGTGAAGATCAGGAAAGATTCAGACATGTCTATACTACACACTATTTCATAAGAAGATAGAAAGTATTAAAATTTGATACAGCTGCATTAAAAATTGTGAAGTCAAATTTCCCTTTCCTCCAATCCAAAGTGTCACCATATCATATTTTGGCCAGGGAAAGGAAGGTGATTTTTTAAAAACCACTTTATTGAGGTATGATTGACATATAAAAAGCTGTACATATTTAAGGTATTCAACTTGATGAGTTGAAATATTAATTTATCTCAGATAAGCCATGAAGTTGACTAGGTAGGTTACCAAGAGTTGGAAGAAACACTGATTTATTAATTATTGCTCTTTCACCACAGGATTACCAGGAGGGCATGAACAATGTCTACCTGTTCACCATTATGTCACCTGGTGCCTTGGGTTGAATGTCCCCCCAAAACTTAATCCCCACTATAACTGTTGACGGTGGGAAATCTTGTTATGGTAATTGAAAGGTGGGGCCTTGAAGAGGTAATTAGATTGTAGGACTATGCCATGCCATAATGAATGTATTAAGAATGGTGGTCCTAGGCATGGTTTGGAGGGCTTTAAAAGGAGAGTGAATGAGGTGGTTAGTCTCTGTTCCACAATCTTCTGCAATGTGAAACCCCTGCATTGCTGTAAAGCCACCACCAAGGCCTTCACCAGCTGTGTTCCCTGGACTTTGGACTTCCCAGCCTCTGAAACTATAAGCAATAAATTTTGTTTTCTTTGTAAATCACCCAGTTTTGGGTATTTATGTTATAAGTAAAAGAAACAGACTAATACACCTGGCAACCAGATACAAAGCAGGTACTGAATACAATTTGCTGACTGAATCAAAAAATGTTTTCAGGCCATTTCAAAAGATAAGGTACTTGAGTAAATTTTAAAGTACAAGCTTTAAGGTAGTTTTAGAAGTTGTTTTCTACTAAGAATAAACATGTAAATGACTTGATATGAAAGGGTCTGCAGAAAGTTCATGGAAAAGTTTGTATTATCTTTTAATTCCATTTTTCCATGAACTTTTGAAGTACTCATACATTAATTTTTACCACTAATAATACTAACATATTCAGAGCTAATAAAATTACAGGGCATTTTATAATGATGGTAAATTTAACTAATAGTTGATACAATTTATTACATGCCAACATTATTCTATTTTAGCTGCTATTACCCTCTCTTACTGATGAGGATTGAGAGGCTTCAATCAGGGCAAGTAACTTATGGGCAGGGCTGGCATTCTAAATTAGCCTGCCTGACTCGAAAGCCATGTTATTCTGCCTCCCAAGCAACTAACACTACTCATTGGAAAATCAAGAAGCTCACAAGTGTGATTCTACCCAGAAACACCAGTTTTCCCTGTAAGATCCTCCGGAATTGGAATCTAATGAGGCAGCACATTTAACACCATACTGATAGAATTAATACACTGCATGAATAGAATCTTGTGTCTATAGCTATATAAAAAATTTCCTAAGAATTTCTCTGTATTCTCTGTCTACAGAGCTGGGAAGAGCAGAGAACAGTAACCATCCAGTTCCTTTCAAACTGACCATACCATGAGCTTAAGTAAATCCAGAGTAGGAGTATTACCCACTATAGAGTGAGAGCCAGTAGTTTAAGCTACTTGGGAGCTCTGCCTATAAAAAGAGTCTAAGATGAGTTAAGTGTCAGTGATTTTCCTCTGAAAGAAATATAAAGACAGAAAAAAGAAAACCCGAGCTCCAGAGGGGAGAAGTGGGAGAGTCTGGAGGGAAGAGATCCTCACTTGCAGGCCCTCCTGTGGTCACCAGCTGCTCGGGCCAGGAAGGCCTCCTCAACTGGGATCCTGAGAGACATCTGTCCTCAGGCTTTTCTTCTGATGGGGAAGGAAATACATACAGGGTGAGAGCTTTCACAGGTGCATTCATTTGACACATATTTACTGAGTGCCTATTATGTGTCAGGACCAGTGCTAGGCATGGTGTGTGTGAAGGAGTAAGACACGTAACAGGCAGTCAGTGATGATTTATGAAGGAAAGCACACAGGCATAAGGACCCCCCAACCTTTTAGGGAGGACAGACAAGTTAGCAACTATCTTTTAATACAATGGGGAAAGTATAACAATAGAATTAGGAATGAGGAACAGAGACAGCCCAGACAAGAGAATGATTAATGCTGGGGACTGGGTAGAGTAGGGGGGGTGGGGTTAGTAGGATGATGGCATTAAAGCTCCAACTGATAGCCTCCCTCTATCCCCACCCCTGCCCCATAACTTTGTAGTGTCCTCCTACATAAACTCTGGGCTTGGCCATGTGATTTGCTTTGGTCAACAGGATGTTAACAAATGTAATGCAACTGGGGGCTTGAAAAAAAAATGCTAGCATGCTTCCACTTTCTCTCTTGCTTCTCTGAGATGGCCACAAAAACATGCTTGGGCTGGCCAGCTGGAGCAGCGTGGGAGACATATCTATTCTATTCATGCAACTGACCAGAGGAGAGCCCAGTTGTCCCCAAGATCAGTCTTTGGCCAGCTGACCCCCAAAACATTGGAGTGAACCTAGCAGAGCCCTCCCTGCCCCATAGCTGACCACAGACACATAAATGAGCCCACAAAGACCAGAATGGCCCTGCTAACCCATAGCCTTATGAGCAATAAGAAATGCTTATTCTTTTAAGCCAGTCAGTGTTCTAGTTGCCTATTTCACAGCATTATTGTGGTCATAGACAACTGATATAAACCATAAGGAAACAGACAATGAAGGCTTCTGAGATGAGGGGATATCCGAGGCAGGGCTTAAAGCATCACTAGGAGCTACACAGTAAATATAAGGTATACATACGATTGGCCTACTTACATAGAGGTTCTAGATTTTCTAATTAAATGCTAATTAATTTTTTTGTGGGGGTATGAATTTTGCTTTTTCCTTTACATTAATATAATTAGTTACTCATACTCATATCCTAGGAGAAAACTTATTTGACTTGCTTATAACACAAAGCTCATGAATTAATACAATTTAAAATGTGCCCTAATTTAATTTTGTTTAAATTTTGCAAGGTAATTTTAGAAACCTAGAAGACAACTTCGACACTTGACCCAGTGAGTTCTGAAAGGCCATATGCTTTGTGTGTCAAAAATGATTATTAAAATACTTAACGCACTGCTGAGTTTCCAAATGCTGAGTCCTTTCCCTGCCAAGCAAGGAGGATGTAACACGGTTGGGCATTTTGAATACAGTAAAGTTCATTTAATATTTTGTACTCCATGTCTGCTCTATAAAACACATTTCCAGCCTGCAGCCTGAGGACAAAACACCAAGGACAAAGCCCAGCACAGGCCATCAAGAGTGTAATTTCATATGCCTCCAGATTCACGTAACTAAAATGTTTTGATTATTATTCCTCTCAATCCCAGATAAATTATATTAAATTACATAAATATCTTGAGACCTCCCGTGGTTTTCAAGATTCTTTAAAAAATTTTTACTCAAATAAATATACCCTTTGTTTATTTCTTAATTTTATTTCTGTTACCCCACCGTACTGCTCTTATGCTCACGCTCTAGGAAATGACCATGTATATTAGACCCTCTTTAGTATGGATCCTGCCTTTCTCAGACCACAGAAATTCAATTTATACCAGAGAAAGCAGCAATATCTTTAGTGCCAAAACTACAGGGCACTGCTCTGTACTTATTCCTTCTAACCTGAAATTCTACCTCTTAGCCCCAACTTGAACTACCTTTGGTGAAGTCAAAGCTATTCATCCTCTCAGTTCAGTCTGGCTTCCCCATCCAGTGGGAAAAGTCATTGTATTACTCAACAACCAAATAATGTGAATGTAGTTTTGCATTTTTTTCTAAGTGTTTTATTTCCTTTAAGAAAAAAATAAAACAATTCTCCTCATATTTTTATATCTTCTTTCAGGAGATAGCTCTGCTCCCTCAACTCATTCATTCAGCAAATACTTCTTGGGAATCTTCTGTAAGCCAGTGGCAGTGAGCACAACTGGAGGTGGTCTCTGCCCACATAGAACTGACAGTCCAGTGGGTATTTTCACATCACTGAGGTCATAACTACAAATTAAGTGAGGTGCTAGGATGGAAAGCCACACAGTCTCACAAAAATGACCGACCAAGGAAGCTGACCCAGAAAATGTCCTCCAAAGATACCATGCTCAACCTCTTCACTGAAGGACTGCACATGATTGACTATGCAAGGAGAGAGAGTAGTCCGGCAGAGGGAGGGGCATGTGCAAAGGCCCTGTGGTGGAGGACAACGAGGCAGGTACCAGAAGTAGGCCAGTGTAGCTGAGAACAAGCAGGAGGGAGGTATGAGATAACACGGAGAGGAGATTGGCGTACATCCTGG